AATGTAGAGCTACGACCCTTGACCGGACCAAATAAAAACTCCTACAACACAAGGAGAAAAAGCCATAAGTAGGATGTAACCAGTAATGATAAAGTTATAAAGTCATATATTTGTTATTATGAAAATGAGTTAAGGTAGCAAACTAATTATCAGCCATACTACCAGTAGCAATGAAGGCGAGAATTGCATCTTTGAACATAATAAGGATCAGGAAACTCCAAATCATATATCCAAAAATAACTATCATAGCAACAGGGTGGAAAACCGCATGCAAATTCTCAGAAATGTAGCATTCAGTAATTAAAACAAAAAGATAGAATAAAGAGTCATAAACCCGAGAGGCAGCAATAAGATATAACAACCAGAGAAACACCATAGAATGGTATGTGAATAAACGTAAAGAAATACCCCTACTGGCATTAACTAAACCACAGAGGAGCTTCTATATTTCAAATAACCACCCCAACCACCTAACGTCATTGCAATCAGATAAGAGGGCTGCAGCTGAACTGCACCAACCCAAAGCCACCCAAAGAGCATAAACAAACCAACATATAGCCAGAGCCACCACACATGATAAATAAGAGGAAATCTGCCAACCCACCATCAATAACTAAGTTAAAATAGGACCCAACACACCCAACAACACCAGTAAGATAATGAAACAAAAAGCAACCTAAAAAACCAACTCAAAAAACAAAAGCAAATTATTGTAGAGACCCCATCAGCACCATCAAATTCCACAAGAACAAGAAAAATAGCCAGCTACATATGAAAACTGGGGAAAAGCAACCCAAACTAAACAAGTGGGAACCATAGCTAACAGACCAAAAGTTAGAACAAAATCAACCATTTCGGATATAAGGCAAACTAGTTTTGTCCAAATTAATCATGCCTTTCAACATAGGAGGTAAATTCCTAATGTTCAACTCCTGAAATCTATCAAGCTGACAACCAAAATTAGCCAGTCAATCAGCACATGAATTAGCTTCAAGATAAATGTGGGAAATAGAGTAATTAATAACAAAGAGTGAATGCTTAATTTTTCTATTAAGATAAAAGTTTTGAGGGTTACCAGGCACAACATTGTTAATGATCTCAACTAAAAGCATCGCATCCACCTCAATTCACACATACTCAAAGCCCAAAGTAATAAAAATATCTAAGCCATATGACAAACCCATAAGCTTGGCAGTAATAACACTACACAATTGTAAAGGACCAGTAAAAGCCACAAGGACACCACCCAACTGATCTCGAATAACAGCACCAGCACTGATGGTCCCAACAAACCCATTAGAGTAAAGTTTAACATAAGGATGTTTAGGCTTAATCCATCTAACCACCTTGTCAAAATAATTCAACAGACCACAATCATTAGGAATACCAAAATCAATAGCCATGTCTATACAATTGTGGAAAATTCTTAGCAGAAATAAGATTGACTGGATAAAATTACAAAATTTTATGTCTAACATTAGAAATAATTTGAGTAGCATCCTTTGATGTCATTATGCTTTGCATCATTTATAGCGTTCTAAATATATCACAAAATAAGAATGGGCAATAAACTACAAATGTAGCCTTTAGGAGTAGTCAGTTAAGCCTCTAACATAGATAGAACATCATTATTAATATTAATTACCTTTATTGGCCAGTGCTGTAAATTAACTCCACACTTTTTTAGCAATATTCCCATTCACAAAAAGATGATTAACATTCTCCACATTAGAACAACAGTGACATTTGGAAGGAAAAATAAAACCTTTTTTCTGAAGCAATTCATTAACCAGAATAAAACCTTTAAGACACCTTCAAATTAGGATGGAATAAGAAACCAGAATATTGTTATGCCATATTAAAGAATAAATGTGGGATGTCTCATATTTAATTTTAATAGTGTTCCAAACATTCTTTAAGGGAAATTTACGAGAGGAAGAAAGACTGAACATAATTTTATCCTTACATTGTAATTGCAAAGGAATAGTCAAAATAATATCAATTAAAATGGTATGAATGACCTCTAAAAGTTTATTGACATTTCAAATACCTTTAATAAGAAAACTATTAACCTTAACATTATCAATAGTATGCGTATTTAAAAAACTATCTATAGAAAAAGGACCCAACCAATTATCTTGCCAAAAAAAATCACATTTACCCAGCCCCCATTGAATGAATTTCTCAACCTCCCATTTAATGTGGCAAAGCCTTTCCCAGATCATGGAATCAGAACTTTTATAACAAACTAACACCAGATGAATATCTTTGCAATATTTAATATTCATATAATGAGCCCATAAACTAATTTTAGATCTAAAATAAAACCATAATTTGTGAGAAAAAGCTTGAACCGTATCACTTATAATTTTACAATCTAAACCCCATTCATTAAAAACCTCACAAACCTTCTTCCAAGAAACCCAACAAATACCATTGCTATTATAATTAGAGCCCTAGAAGAACTTTTTTAGCATCCTCTCTAATCTAAGGCAAGTAGACATCATAGGTTAGAAAGTATGAAATAAATAAATGGGAATAGAATTCAAA